CCCCCCCCCCCCCCCCCCCCCCCGTTCTTTTCTGGACTGTAAATACTTTGTACTTTGTGTTTGTTAAGACTGACAGTTTCCCACAGATCTGGAGGCACTGCTGGACTTTCTGGCATTGTAGTTGGTTGCTCTCTGGTTTTCTTAGGTGGCCTTTGGTCTCCTAATTGATGCACCTCACCCCATTTCTTGTGTGAGTGCACATTACTTGTCTGTGAAGTGAAATCAGAAGCTGACTTACAACTTGAGATGACCACTGACCCTTCAGAGCATAACTGGCTCAAATCCTTATCTTGGTGCCACGTGTTGGTTTTCTGAAAACATCACCTCCTCCTTTTGTTGAATTTCCTAATTTGGAACTTCTGAGTGGAGAAGGGATTCAGATGAGCAGGCACAGGGAGGGTGTTCAGCACGACTCTGGATGGCTTTTAACTGGGCAGTTATGTTTCCCTTTGCCATGTAGGTACATCCTGGTTGACTGGCTGGTGGAAGTGGCAACCATGAAAGACTTTTCTTGCCTATGCCTTCACATGACGGTGGGCTGTGTGGACCGTTACCTGAGGCTGAGACCTGTGCCCCGGTATCAACTCCAGCTCCTGGGAATAGCCTGCATGGTCATTTGCACACGGTAGGAGTTCTGACTGATGGTGAGGGTGGTTATTGGGGTTGTTCGAACTCATTTGTGCAGCTCAAGCTTGTTTTTCCTCCAGTACTGGAAAGAACCCTCTGCACTAACTGCTGCTTGAACCGTTTTCACATACAAACGCTTCCAGGCACTGCAAATTGACATATAATATTTCTCAAACATGTCTTTAATACAGAAATAACTCCACAGTAGCAGTTAAGTTTAAGCTTTCCATTCCCCTGAGAACTGAAGTATTTCATTCTCATACTCATGTTAGCATGATTAACCCTGTATAAGGAACAGCAGTATTGTTCCCTAGTTCCATCTGTTATGCTCAGATGAACAGTGTGGTGTGTTGGAGAACTATTCTTCTCTGTTAGTTACCTCAATGTCTTGCATCGTAACTAGGAGAGGTTCCATAAGTGAAGAATTAGGGATGTTTTAGTTGGCAGTTCTAGCATAAAGGTAAAAACAAACGAGGAGCTGCTGTTCCTTCTTTCACAGCTTGTACCTGACTTACAAAGTTTAACCTTAAAAATCTTTGTGAGGTTTAAAAACCCTGCAGAGTTTAGCCCCTTGGTTATCTTATCTATTATTTACTGGCCACAAAAAATGGTGCATAGGTACAGAGTCTTTATTCTTGGGCTAACTGTTAATTATACTTGATATTGCAGTTTCATCAGCAAAGAGATCTTGACAATACGGGAGGCTGTGTGGCTAACGGACAACACATACAAATATGAAGACCTGGTGAGGATGATGGGTGAGATCATCTCTGCCCTGGAAGGAAAGATAAGGGTGAGTTTGGGAAGTGGATGGGCAATTTTATCCCTGGGGCTGCAGTTGAAGTGGATCTTTTGAATAAAAAGAACAAAGTTGTATTATAAGTGTTTCCTGTGGAGACTGCACATTTAAGAGCATGCAGATACCAAACCATCTGCCTTCCTGTAGAGATTAAAACTTGAGTTTCTTAAGGCACGTTCAGAGATCATTTATTGTTTCACTGGGGAGTATTTCAGTGGTAGCATAGAACTTAAAATAATACTTGGTAATGAAAGCAGTGTCTTGTGAGAACAACGGTGGTTTAAATACTTGGTGCTTGAGTTGTGTTGCCAACCTCTGTTCTCCTTTGTGCATTAGATACCTACTATTGTGGACTACAAAGAAGTGCTATCAAACATAGTCTCACTGGAGAGAAGAACTCTTCACCTTTACAGCTTCATTTGTGAGCTGTCTCTCCTAAACACGAGCCTTTTCGGGTACTCCCCAGCTCGGCTGGCTGCTGCAGCACTGCTGCTGGCTAAGATCCTGCATGGCCACGGTAAGGAGCAGCCCGTTCAGTGGAGCTGCAGCAAAGTGCATCAGGCTGCCTCATCCCTTCAGGGAGCCTCTGTGGGCAAGGTGCCCCAACCACCCTGGGGAGTGTGGGAGGGGGGAAAGGTGTAATATGTGAGAATGGAGTTGAGTTTGGTCTGTAGCAATGCAATAACGTGAGCCCTGCATTTAAATGAGACTGAAGGGTTTTGCCCTTATCTATGCAGTAGAATTCTACTTAGGCGTAGCTTCCATTTCTCAAGTAAGCCTATCCTAGAAGCAAATTCTGAACTTCAGCTGTGTGCAGGCAAAATCTCCTAAAGATTGTCACCACACAGGCATGATCTTTACCCCATTAACAACTCTGTCTGACTATAGAACTTGTGAGCTCTGTGAAATGGTAATGCCTGTTCCCTCCTCCAGCACATCCCTGGACCAGCCAGCTGTCTGAGTGCACTGGGTTCTCTCTTGAAGACCTGTTGCCGTGTGTGCTGCGCCTTCACCAAAAATGGTAAAACTTGGGGAACTCTTCTGGGAGTGTTTTTGTATTCTGGCTCTCGTAGCCCTGCTGGAAGTCCTTCCAAAGGGAGGAGGTGGCTTTAGCAAACTGCTTTACTCCCCCTACCCCAGGGCACTGAAATCTAGGGGCTGCTTCAGTGACGGCTGTTGCGTTTGTCTTGCCTGGCAGTGGCCCTGGCTTACAGAAGCCCTGGTGCTCCCCAAGCCCAGCAGGTATCAGCTTGCCAGCATCACTGTTTTCAGGTGATTGTGACCAGTTTTTGATGAGCTCCAGAAGGAGTTCAGTAGCAAAAATAATTCATTTCTGAAAGGCTGGAACTCAAATATCTCAAGAAACGAAAAAGGAATTGGATGCTTGCATGCTTAGCAGCTCTGCTGAAATGCCAGTTTCCTCGGCACAGAGCTGAGGCAGACAGAGGGAAGGTGCTTACATGGCCAGAACTTGCTAACAATGTTCTATATAATCCATTCTAAGATTAAAGCCCTGGTCTTTCTTTCCAGTTTCCATGATGAGGTCCCTAAGGATTACAGGCAGGTGTCTTTAACCGCAGTGAGACAGAGATTTGAAGATGAGCGGTACGATGAAGTAGGCAAAGAAAAGGTGGGTTGGTTCTTTTGTTTGCTGAAGTCTGACACCTAGAGCAAAAGCTACTATGTGGCAGGGTGTTCAAAACTTCCAGTAAGTGGAAGTGAATTTTAACTTCAGGTTTTGGAAGTAGAGAATGGCTGGGTAAGGTTGGGGCTTCTAAATTTTGTCTGCTGGGAATCTAACTGCTGTGGTTGAACAGCAGTTCTAGGAAGGACTCAACAGGATAGCTTTCTCCTGGAAAGAAATAAAGATAAATAAGGATAAAATAGCTGCTTCCTGGCAGAGGGAATCACATGGTCTAATTCTTAACCCTTTGTTTTTCAGGTGATGAGCTACAGCCAGCTCTGTTCACTGCTGGGTGTGAAGCAGGAGGACCTGAAACCCAGTCCCCTGCACACAAATGTCATAGAAATTAAAGCTTTCTTTAGCTCTCCCTCTGGAAAGAGATCTAAAAGGTGAGTATAACCCATGGCTGTAAAGGTCTGTGAAGACTTGCGTGAGCCTTTCCTCCTCTCTGGCATCCTGAGCTTCCATTCCTTCTGTCGTTACCTTGGCCTGACATCTCTATTAGAAGAGCTGGAGAAGCAGAGTTGGCTTTTAATGTGTGACTTCTGGATGTTCTTGCTACAGGAGGAGGGAAGACAGCGCTCAGGATGACAGGGGCAGCCTGGTGACTACGCCTACAGCTGAGCTATCCACCCAGGAAGAAAGTCTTCTGGACAGCTTCCTGGACTGGAGTTTAGATTCCTGCTCTGGTTATGAAGGTGATCAGGAAAGCGAAGGCGAGAGAGATGGAGATGGTAAGGCTTTTAGTCTTACTTAAAGAAAAAAACAAACAAACAAAAACACTAAGAGAACCTGAAAACCTGCCTTTTTATTTTTACATAAAACTCCTTCTGGAAGAGCCTAAACTTTCCTAAGAGCAGCTGGGGAAACTCTCCTTCTCCCCCCAGTGGTTATAGTTGTTAAACTTTTAGGGTACATTTCTTCTCTGCACTGCTTCAGAACTTACTGAAGGATTTTGCAGCCACTCAGCATTTCCAAGACAGTGTTTTCAGATGCTGCTACAGCATAACCAGCCTTGAATGGGTCACACTGTAGCCAGTGTTGGAATGCTGTCAGCTGTTTGTTTTATTGACACACAGGCTCTGGCCTTTCATTTTCCAAGTTGGGCAGTACCTCTCCAAACAGGGCGAGAGGGAAATATTAAATTACTTTAATGAGGGCAAATTCCACCTTTACCCTCCCCTCTCGACAAGGTTTACACTTGCACTTTTTTTCTCTGCTCGACTGTTAGCTTGGTGTTGCCCAAATTCTGACTGGCCTTTTCCTTCTCTCATCCCTCAGTCACCAGTCCCAGTGGAATCCTGGATGTGACAGTGGTGTACGTGGATCCAGCAGAGCACTGCTGTCAGGACTCCAGTGATGAGGACAGCCTCTCTGTCGAGTGTCCTGGGCACGCAGCACCGCCGAGGAAGGCCAGGACTCCAGATGAAACTCGCAGAGTTTTTTCAGCCTGTGTTGCCTCAAGAAATCCCAGCTGTGAAGGGAGCTCAGGCTACTCTTCTGTCAGTGGTGCCAGTCCCACATCTTCCGTGGAAGGCAGCTGCGGAATACCTCTCAAACCTACCTCAGCACTGTCTGGTGGCAGTGCCATGAACAAGGAGCCATGCCTGCCCCCCGACCTGGAATCGCGTTTACCATCAGTGCATGCTAGAGCTGGTGATAGGAATTCTGCCCGAAGGCAAGTCAAGCGCAAAAACCTGGCAGAACACAGTGAAGAAAGGGTGAACTTGGGCTTCTTAAGCCTCTGATTTCATGCTTTCTAGGTTTTCTGGAAACAGCATTTCTGTCATAGTTGTACAGGAATGATAGTGAATAATTGTCAATACCTCCAGAAAGAGCCCTTTCCCTTAACTTTGCCTATTCCTACCACATTCTGTAAGCCTGTCTCTTAATTCTGTATCTCACTTCTGGCCTTTTTCCATCCTTGATAACTGAGTTTTTAAAAGTGTTTCCTCTTTTCTGATTCTCTCCAAGTTTCATAGACTGAGAGGGAGGTTAACTTTATGGCTTGTGTCATACCTCGCCACCTATTCCTTGAGAATGACCTTGTCCTCTCCCTTGCTTCACTGTGAGGCCTGGCACCATGAAAGAAAGGAATTTGCTTTGGTCACGAAGTTACTGGATGTAACACTATGCTTGAAGTTGGTAGACCTCCGTGCGGTTATGCTGCATTTTAATTTTAGCCAGGTACTGTTTCAAGTCAGCTGGTGCTTCCCTCTTCTATGTATATATCTTCTGCTGCACTGACGTAAGGTTTTTATCGATACAGTCAAGAGGTAAATGAAGGCTCATTGCAGGTCTGAGCTTTTTTTTAACCTACCTCTCATGGTTTTAAAAACCCTATTTGACTCAGGCCTCAGTTGCCATGTGTTCCTTCCCTGAAATGTTATCCTCCTGTGCCTTAATGCTTCACTGCCCAATGCTACAGTACTGTGAACTGTTAGCCCATGCTGCAGCAGTGTGGTTTAACTGCCACCTCCAGTCCATGGCCCACCTTCACTGCCTGTTTTCCTTGCTATTTCCATGAATGTGGCCTTCAGTAAAGCACACCTCACTTAAACACTAGAAGCAGGCAGCAATGCAGTAAGGGCAAACTGTCTGAAAGCCCTAATTTAAGCCTTGCAACTGCATCCTAGTCCGCAAGGGGAGCATATGCTTTCATTAAAATTGCAATCTTCTGTACTGTATCAAGCAGGGCTTTGAAGGAACTTCCTACACTGACCTCAGCCTAGCCATCCTGGGTTAAAGCTCCTTCAGCCTGCCTACATTAGGAAAATAGCCTTCTTTTTATGTGTTGGTATTTTAATGTTCTTTACTTGTTTTATGACTTTCATGAATTGTCGATGATTTTAACACTGGAACTGGACTCCACAACTCTTCCTTTATCTAGAAGTTACTGTGGCAGGTGGCAACAGTTCAGATAAGATGTAGTGTTTGTTTGTTTGTTTTTAATATAAAATTTGTTTTTACATCTATGAATGGCTCTCTGTGTTGCTTTTAATGGCTGGTATCCGTTCACCTCTGCTGAGCTGGGGGATGAAGGCTATTTACATCCATACCACAAGCAGGTGGGAGAGGGCCCTGCACAGAACATGAGACTCAAATCACAAATCTGCTGCGCTACCATGAGGAAAGAAAGCCAAAGCACAGCCTTGAATATTCCCCCAGTAACCCCATGCTGCAGGCTGTGTGTGCTTTCCAAAAAGTTTATTATAAAACAACAGTAGGTAAAATCTCTCACATCTTTTGGAAAAGCTTCACACTGCATAAAGCTCTGAACTGTGTTGTCCTGTGCAAGTTTTCTTGACCTAAAAAGAGACAAAAGGGGAACATAAATCAGTTTGTACAGTTTCTTCCCTGTAACTCAATGGAAAGCTGAAACACCACGGAAAACATGATGAAATGGCACAAATGGTACAAAGGTCTTAAGCTACAACAAGTGGAGATCTGCTGAGGTAATAGCAACAGTGCTCCACTGCTGCTTGGAGTGCAGGGGACTGGTGCTGTGTGCTGCAGCAGTCTGAACCATGGGCACTTACTTAGGGCACTACCATGATATCCACAGAGTCATAAGCTGAAGCTTTCAGCATCTGCAGTGGCTTTTTGAAGAGCTGCCGCAGGGCCTCATAGTTTGGCTTCTCCTCATATTCCAGTGCCATTACTTGCTGCAGGTAGCTCTGAAGGGCAGCTGCAAAGCACATAATGTCACCATGTGGATTCACACAACCCATCACCTTCACAAAACTGACAACATTTCCAGACTCCATTCCCTGCAGAGATCACTCCTCAGCCTTGGCCAGCTGCAGAGAGAGAAAAACTAAACCTGGGCTACAGTGGAAGTGCAGCCAGAAGGTCAGGGAAGGGATTCTCACCCTTCTACAGCTACAGAAAGACCTCACTGCTGCCCTTCAGTACCTGAAGGGGACTATGGGAAAGATGGGGAGGAAACTTTCTACAAGGACATGAAGCAACAGGACATGGGGTAATGGCTTTACACTAAAAGAGGGACTGGCTTTAGATACAAGGAAGCAATTTTCCACTATGCAGGCCCTGGCACCACTGTCCAGAGAAGCTGTGGATGGATGCCCCATCCCTCGAGGTGCTCAGGGCCAGGCAGGATGGGACCTTGAGCAGCCTGAGCTGGGGGGAGGTGTCCCTGCCCATGGCATGGGGGAGGGTGTCAAACCAGATGCTCTCTGAGGACCCTCTCAGCCCAAACCATTCTATGAAAACAAAGAACTAATATAAAGTTTAAACAGGATTCTGCATTTTTAAAGCCACTAGAACACTGGCCTCTTCAGCAAGGCTTATGAACGTAGATGTAACAGGTAGCAGCCTTCTTTGCTTTGCTGCAAACAAGGGCTTTGTTCTTAGGAGGAGCCTGGCAGCTGGTCTGTGCACTGCTTTGTCACCACCACCACCACAAGCCATCCCAGTTAGCACCCCAGTGTGAGGAAAGCTCTGGCTTCAAGTATGGTCAATCCCCTCTCCCTCCCCAAGAAGCCCCTAGGAAAGCAAGCCTGCACCTGGAATCGACCTCTGCCTGCTGAAGCACTGTTGGAGAAGGCATGTCACATCATTTTTGTACCTGGAAGAACCAGTGCAGAGAGCTGTCAGAAGAGAAGCAATGGAGCAGCCACTGAAGCATCCCGTCTTTGACAAGAACAAAATACAAAAAAAGGCCAAATTCAGATGGTCAGGCTCTAAATGCTGCTGAGAGCTGGGTTCACCAATAACCCTTTCACCCGGGAGATAATTTTGGCCACTTGCTTCCAGTGTGACTTTCCAGTGGGATTTATCCACACCACAATAAAGAGAAATCATTTGATCACAGTCCTCTAGTCACAGAATCGCCCTCAGTGTTTCCTTTTGAGCATTTCCCAAAAGAGCACATGAATACTCCTACATTTCTTTCTTTTCCATCACAGTTTCTACTTTGTCCAGCTCCTTAGACCAAGGCAAGAAGCCGCAGAGCCATTTCAGAAGACAGTAGCCCAGAGATTCCAAGTCACACCGTCGAGATGGTGCTGAAAGAAGAGAAATTCACATGCAGAAAATGGATTGGGAGCCATCCCAGGGGAGGTCCAGCTAGCACCTCTCCAAAGGAGCACTTCAGCACTCATGGTACATACTCGGAAGTGTCTATTTCTGAGACCCAAACAAGTAGCTAATCTGAACATCCTTCCAGCTCTCTGCTTCGAGGTCAGAGTGGAGTCTGTTTTGGGCAGGGATCCAGCCTAGCTTGAAGCAGATCCCATCTAAGCCACCACGAAGCAACCCAGTTTTCTATTCCTTGCACACTTGCAGGAGCCACGACCCCAGATGGCGCAGGAACACCCCTGCACCTCTTGCTGCAGTTGCTGAGTAACCTGGCAATTCCCCAAGACAGCAGCCTGGAAAGAGGTTTGAGGAAATAGGCCGAACATAAACTGGGTTCCAGGTGCACATACATGCCTGGAAAGCAGCAGTAACAAGTGGCAGCAGGAAGCCCTAGCTTCAGAGAGCCTTGCTACAGCTTCAGATGGGCTTTTTACCAGCTTGTGTCAGAAACAGACTCACCTGCTCCTCTGTGGCTGTCCTGGCTGATAAACTCTATCGTGCCCTCATGAGGAGTCCTGCTGCCTTCACGCCTAGCCACATGCTTCCCTTCTGGGCAGTAACGGAAGGCAAAGTAGTAGCCTGCGAGGGTCACCTGGAATACAGCAGGAAACACACTTCTGAGCATTACTACTTGGGGCCAGGACCACAGGCTGTGCATCTGCTCTGCTTGCTCCACAGAGGTCTCCAAGTCAGAGCCTGTATCTTCCCTCTGAGTAATCCCTTTATGGAACACCAGGTGGCTTCTAAAGTTTCCTGCCTTTGGGTGTTAAACCTGTGCATCCCCCAGTCCTGCACTGCTGCACGTGAACACTGCATGAACTGCATTGCTCCCCTGCTCAAAAGCTGCTCTGTCCCACTTGTATGAGCCCAACTCAGCTGCCATTTCCTTGCAGCACTGCTCCCACTCAATACCTGCGTGAGGTCTGCTGGGTTCACATAGATGTTGTCAGCTGTGATGTCCCCATGCACATACTCATTTTCGTGAAGGTACTCCAGGCAATCCAGCTACAGGTAAACAGAAGAGCAGAGCGTATCAGACCGACACACTCCTCACTCAGCACCCAGGCTTCCACTGAGCTGGACCCTGCTCCCACATTTCTTGTAGCTGTATGGAGGATACACGAGCACCATGTCCCACAGCCTCTGATTTTCAAGGTTTCTTTCATCCTCCTTACCTCAGATTCCTTCTATTTTACACACTGCTCAAGAGACACTACTCAGGTTTACAACAGGCTCTAGAGATGCTACTTTAAGAGCCAGCAAATCCCCTGGATTAGCTTTAAAGTACCTTTAAAAGATGAGGGAGGAAGTTATATGCCTTTCCTTAACAAGTCTTTTGCAAAGTGTTGGCTCCCTACGTACCAGCCGGACTGCAATCTGAAAAGCTGCCTTCTCATTCAGGTGTAAGTTGTCATTCAGAATGGACTGAAGAGATCGCCCTAAATCAGAGAACACCAAAAACCTACAAAAGACAAGGATGTAGCAGTGCCTGCCTGGTACAGAAGCCCTGCAACAGAAACTCAAGTGATCTGCCTGGATTAGAACCCCCCCCCCTGCACTACTTCACACTAACCTGGGCAAAGCTTCCCTCACTTAGGTAACAAAAGTTCCTCCTACAGGAGTTTGTTGCAGATAAAAGAGACTGAGATTTTTTTATTTTTTTTTTAAGTTTAAAAGGCAAGAACAAGGTGCCCCTGGGCCAGAGGAGCAGAAGCCGCAAATGCAATGGCTACACCAGCCACCCAGGGACTAGAGGAAACAGGATGGTGAGAGGCAAAGCATTTGTTAATAAATTAGGAGAGGCACATTACATTCAGAGCCCAGGGAACAGCGAGAAAAAGGACAGTGCACAGCAAGAAGGGAAGGAGGAAAGCCCAGGAAGATGGCAGTGCAGACAGAAGAGCTCAGCTGTGCTCTTTACAGAGTCACCTCACCTGTATTTATCTGCATGCAGTCCAAAGCCAAGACAGCTGGGGATGCCCAGCAGGGGCAAAGAGTGCAGCTTCTTCCACTTCTCCACTAGGAGGGAAAAGAGTGCGGCAGATGCCAAGCTGTTTCCATACTGATCTGCCCCAAAATGCCAGCCTAACGTGCCAGGGTGTTGGCATGTCAGTGCACATAGCACTGCAGAGCAAGAATAAGACAGCAAGGATGCTGGGAATACCAGAGCAGGCTACAGCATGTGCTTGCTGTGGGGCTACATAAAACAGCAAGGGGAGAAGAGAGAGCCAGGAACAGCAATGGAGAAGCAAATTCTACAAACAGGTCTGCAAAGGATTTGAGTATAGCCCTCCCAGAAGTGTCCATTTGGCAGGAATTCCCCTATCATGTCTGGTCAGCTTTGTTGACTTTAAAAACTTAAGCGTGGGCAAAGTAAATACTTGACAGCAGCTGAAAGAAATGCCTACAGAGGGGACACAGAAGGGAACAGCAGCCCGTCAGGCTGTGTGACAATACAGCTAAGGCTGACTAGAACGAGAGAGCTGCAAAATGCCAGTGCTGTCATTGGCATTGGCATGGCATGCAGTGCTGTGCCCTCTTAAGATACTCTGCTGGAGAGCAGGCCTAGGGTTGAATTGCTCAGCACTGGCACAGAGGAAGAAGCAAACTGGTTTATTCTAGTGCGGCCTTCTGAGAGACTTAGATAACAAAGGAGAGATGACAGCTCTCCTAACAAGCAGCCTAGTCTTCACCCTGCCAAAGAGCACCAACCTCTGTCTTTCTTTGCAGCTCGCTGGAAAAAGTTCTGTTCATTGTAGATTTTACTGTCTTTGACATCCTGAAAGAAACAGAAAGAAAATGCATTACTTCAGCTACATACTTCCTGCTAGAAAGGGAAATTTGGACACGACTGCTACACAATCTTCACTATACATTTGAAAGAACTTCCCCTGTCCCACCCTCTTCAGAAGAAAAAAAGAAAAAACAAGTAAGAGAACACAGTTTGGGTCTCTTATCTCACTGTTTAGTGCTGCACATCAGCACAAAGCAAGGCAGCAGCTGCCTCACGTCTCAAGCACCACCACTAAGAAGCATGTAGGTTAACAGCAACAATGCAAACCAGCCCAGAGTGAGCTCCAGTCCTGAAGCTGTTGCATTAGGAGCCAGAGGCAGCCTTCTTAGCCACAGCATGAGTAGGTTATTTCTGCAAGCAGGTGAGTCCAAAAAGCAGCTGTTGTGTTTTATGCTAGCTGACAGAAAACAAGACAAGCAAGAAAGTCTGTAGTCACCACGTTTCCCAAGTGTCTGGGTGATGCTGAATTCTTAAAACCCATCCTTTTTACAGCAACCAGCATTACTGCTCTTTTAGTCCTGCTGCTAAGAAGTGACCCGACAGCTCACAAACCAATAGAGAAGTCTGAGTGCCCACACACGTTTACGTATGCATACATGAGTACTCAGCTCAGCACAGACTAACATGGGAGGGATGCTGTGCAGGGAGGAGGTGGGCGTTTCACTCCCTGCTGCGTTTGATACCACAGGTCCCACCCAAGAGGAGCTCTGCGTTCTGCAGGATCAGCAGTCTCCAGACAGCACAAATAACCACATCCCCAAAGATATCGTGCATCTTGCCTGGGAAGCCAATGTGAACTGCCAAACCCAGGAACTGAAACACCCTCTGCTGCAAAGCCAGGAGGTGCCAAAGGTGATGAGTTGTGAGTGTTATGCTCATAAGTGTGCAGAGCTCCTCATCTGCTGGTCCTACTTCAGTAGCAGTGAGCTGTCTCTTCTCATTAATAACACTGCTCTCACTCTCTGACACATTACTCTGACAGCAGAGCGAGTAATTTTACAAGTGCATGTGAGTGGGCACCATTACAGCCCCCACACAGCCATCATTCTGCCACCAAGCTGTAATCACAGAGCAGCTATTACTGAAAATACCACATTTCTGGAGACGCCGACCTGCTGGCAAGTGCCCAGGAATTCTGGCACTGCGTCTCAGTGCTGCTTCATGGCACTGCTTCAGCACAGCCACCAATCCTGCCATCCCCAGCTCCCCCAAGACTGCAGTAGCATTTGTGCACGTCATACCAAAACAGCACACCTGACACTAACAAAGCAGGAACCTCACACCACTGCATTCAATTCTAGAGATCACCCAGCCTGCTGGATGAAAGAGGCAATCTCCTGGGATGAAGGTTTTCTGCTGTTGTTTTAAATTAAATTCTCCTAATTGTTTTTGCACCATTAGGGGAAGAGCCAACCAAGAAGCTCCTGGGAAGTTTTATCTGTTCCCTAAGCAACGGGACCCTAAGCTCCCTCACTTCTCTAAGGAATACACCCATGGCAATGAGGACGGTGAGTTGGTGCCCACTCCATGGGACAGCACAGCCATGGCCTTTCAGAGCACATTCTTTGCATTCATGGGACACTTTGGTGACACAGAGCAGACAGGTCGGGCCAAGGATGCAACACTACACACTATTCCTTACCCAAGCGTATCAAAACTCACAAGTTTGAGGGAGAATCTTTGCTTTTGAGGGCAGGTTCCAGATGCTGACTGTGCTGTGGAAGGATGGAACAGATGTGGTTACAGAGCACAGAAAAGAGGCACCTGCGGTGTCAGCTGCATCGCTCAGCACCGCATGCACAGCTGGCTTCTGCTGATCCTCTGCTTCTTGGTCTCTGCAAAAGCATCTCTGTGACGGTGCTTACCAGTGCTTCTACAGAACAACTCTTACCTTGCTCTGGGGGCTCAGCACCCCAACATGGCTCCAGGTGCAGCACTGCTCAATTCACATGAGCACCTGGAGCTACAGTAATATGGGCTTTGAGGACGGTACATAAAGAACAAATTGTTAGCAGAACCTCCAAGGCACCCACCATCAATTTGTGAGCACTCCCTCCAGCTCATTTTGTAGTTTATCAGAGCTGGATGAGATCAGAGTCCCTTCCCCCCCCTTGTGGGTGTCACAGATATATGTGACAAAATTCTCCCAGCATTTCACCCATTACCTTGCCTTGGGGAAGCCTCTGTTGTTCTGCCCTTTACCTGAGTGCTAAACACAGCTATCTGCTGCTGCTCAGCCAGAGCGTGTCCCAATGACAGCACAACACCCTTCCCTTCTTCTCACACCACGTCTGCAAATGCACAGCCTGCATTATGCAGCAGTGAAAGTGAGCATAAAGATGCTAAAGCCAAACATCATGCAAAGCCTCGGAGTGGAGAAAACTCCTCCTGAGCAACTTCCAGGATTGAAATGTTTCCTTTGGAAGCCTACAACCGCTCAGGCATGCACTCAGGTTCCCAATCACGTTCCTACCTGCCCCGAACTGACGCGCGACACGGAGACGCATGACCCGCAGGGCAGCAGCAGCGCAGCCAGGCCACTTTCCGCCGAGACGCACAGCAGCGTGAAGCGCTCAGTGCCAACGTCTGCGGTCCGGAGGCCCCGGGGTAGCGGAACACCCCCCTCCCCAACCCTCGGGGTCCCGCACCTTCGTAGAGCAGCCCGCAGCCGCCTCCCTGCTCCAGCAGCCGCTGCAGCCGCCAGCGCCCGCCGCCGCGGTCCCGCAGCTCCTCGCCCTCCGGGAGCGGCTCGGCGGGACCGGGCCGGGCCTTGCGGGGCGAGGGGGAACCGCGCCGCGCCGCGAGACACGGCGGGCGGGGCGGGGTGCGGGCGGCCGGCGGGGAGAGCACCGGCACGGCCGCGCTCCGCTCATCCCCGGCGGCGGCCGCGGGGCTCGGGGCCTGCGGTGGTGGCGGGCCGGCCTCGTCCCTCGGTGGCGGCGGTGCTGGCAGTCTGTCGCCGCAGGCCGGGCAGAACCTGAAGGTGGGCTCCACGCCGCCGCCGCACTGCGGGCAGAACCGAGTCACCCTGCGGGCACAGCACGCAGCGTCAGGGCCGGACCGGAGCGGCACAGCCCGCCCGCTCCTCGCCACCACCTGTAACAAACGCGGGGCGGCTCCTGCTGCTCCTCCTCCTGCTGCTCCGCGCCGCCATCACGCGAGGCCCCGATCGCCCCACGGCCCCGACCGCGGCTCCGCCGCCCGCGTCCCCGCATCGCCATCACAGCGCCCGGCCGGAACGCGGTGTGCGCATGCGCACAGCGAGGGGGTGGGGGGTGGGGGGGCTGCAACCAATGGGGGGGGGGGGGAAGGGGAAACGGAAAGGAAAGGGAGGAAAAGGGAAGCGGAAGTGGAGAACAAGGGAAGCGGAAGTAGAGAGAAAGGGAAGGGGAAGAACTGCGCTGTCGCTGCCACCTGGAAGCCTTCCCAGGCCCTGGCCAAAGGGGGTCCCTCAGAAGCCACGCCGGTTGCTGGGGCTGCTTCCTGCACAGCGGCTCAGCCTCCAGCTCCCTCCCAAATCCCCCCATCGTTGTGTTCCCCTGTAAACCTCCTGCGGGCCCCAGCGTGAGTGCTGGGCTCCAGCACTGATTTATTAAGCCCCACAGTTACAATATATGCACACACATACTCACATTACTTTTTAAAACAGTGTTAATTTGCGTCACAGCTCTGTAATTCCAATGGTTGTTGCCTAGGGAGCAGTGATCACATGCTGACAATATGCTGACAACACTTTGGGAAGAGAATATCTGGTAATCCAGAATATGAAGTGCTTTACCAAGACAAAGCACATAAAGCGATTAGGAACCATGAGGAAAGTGGTGGGAAAAGGTGGGCAGGAAAGCACAAGTGGGGAAAGAAACCTTGAAGATTTCAAGAGCTTCCAATCATAAAACACGGAATGGCCTCGGCTGGAAGGGACCTCAAGGATCATGAAGCTCCAACTCCCATACTATGCAGTATGCAGGGCACCAACCTCCCCAATTAATACCAGACCAGGCTGCCCGGGTCCCCATCCAACCTGGCATTGAACACCTCTAGGGACGGGACATCTCAGCCACTCTGGGCAGCTGTTCCAGCACCTGACTGCTCTCATAGTAATGAACTTCCCCCCACTGGGCTGTCAGGAGATGAGTGACTCCACCGCTGTTCTTGGGCAATGGGATGAGAAGCAGGAGTCAGATGCAATAAGGGATTGCCCTAACGCTGCAAGCCGCTGCCCCTTGCTGCCCACGGGCAAGCAGGTTGTAGGCAAGGAAAAGGGTGTGCTGGTTGTACTGGGTGTGCAGCTTTTGTTCAAGAAGAAGAACGGCACCATGCAGCGAGAGACCTGAGGGAAGGGGGAGAAAGTGGGAGGTGGGAGTGGCAGCGCTACAGTTGACACAGGCATTGTCCAATGAAGGAGAACCCCAGAGCTCCCACAGGAGCCCAATGAAGAGTTTTGCCAAGGAGGGAGGAAGGAAGAGGTTTCAGGTTTGGCCTTGCGGATGGACGTCTTTCTGTGCCCACACAAGTGCTTTGTGCTCTTGATGCTGAAGGCAGCTGCCAGGGGCTGGGGAGTGGGTGCACGGCCCTGAACTCTGAGCAGCAGGGAAATCAGGAGAACAGAATGCAGGCACTGCTGATTTTGACCAGTTTGACTCTGCTTTAAGACTCATTGCACGGTTTCAGGAAAAGTGTCCCCACAGTATAAGAAAGAAAAGGAACAAGG